CCAGCGTCTGTCTCCTGTCCTGCTCTTGTAGAGATTCACTGCTGAATGGCTGTCGTTGGGAGATTTAAAAGGGGAAAGAGTGATAGCCACTGGCAGGCTATTTTGAACTCGCAGTTGTGAAGCAAGCTGGCACCAAGGCCTCACTGGTTAATATTTCAGTTCCTTTTCTCTAAGATTAGCTGCCATCTAGATCATCATGTTCCTGCATGTCCCCATCTATTAAATGGGCATGAGGTTAAAACCCGTGGTACCGGTTAAGGCTTCACCTTGCCCCAGTTGGCAGGTGGGCATTACATGATTTTTATGTCTATTTGACCTACTTATCCAAGGACAAAGGGGTGTAAAACTGCCTGTCCCACGATGCTGAGAGCTATAAAGACAGGATGGGACCTCCCAAAGCAAACATCTCTGAGTTAATGATGAAATTTGTAGGACCAGAGGTTATCTCCCTGATATCCTAAACCCTGAATTGGAACCTCTCTGGGGTAGGGTGGATAAGCTGGCAGGGAATGACATGGGGGAGAAAGAATCTTTCCCTTGCTACTAATACAAGTCTCCTTCTGAAAGTTCCTTCTGCCCTAGCTCTCACGGTGTCCACCAGACCTCAAGACCTCATTACGATCCCCTGCAGTTCTAAGTACCAGCCTGGTTCTCCTCTTCCTTTAGGTTACCGCAAAATCCCAAAGGCAGCAGGATGGCTGAGAAAGTCCTGAAAGGTAACAGGATGGATGAATTTCTGCAAAAGCCAACATTGAGAACAGAAATCAAACTAGGTGTTTGACTGAACTGACAGCTCAATTCATTCCCTGGTGACGCCCTTTTTAGAAACAGCCACATGCCCGAGAGCCTCTGACCATCCAGTGGTGAATATTGATCTTTGATTTCTAGCTAAGCCACTGTCTCTAACTCTCAGCAATACCATTCACTTGACTCAGAATTAAATTTCTGGAAGAAAAGGGGGAAAGAATTCAAGGTGCCAAGTTTACATATTACAAGTCAATTCAACTATGTAAATGTATTTACTATGTACAGTCAACCTACTTTTGAGCCAGCCTGGCAGACAATGTGCGTGGGCAGGATCTGAGCTTTGCTGATGGGACTGCTCCTCTCTCACTATCCCGGGTCCTCCTTTTCCCCGCCCGGGATACCTGTAGGTTATGACTGCTCAGATGCTCAAACTCCAGCTTGGACATCTGGAATCCAGTCACCCAGCCAGGAGACTGATGCAATGTCTTAACCTGAGGCTTTTCAAGAAACGTGGCACACGTTCGTTACAGGTGACACAGGCACTGGCCTTTCCTAAATGTGCTGCCGACGAGAACCAAACTACCGTTGCACTATCAGGATCATTCACTGGGTTCTCGTAACGATTTAAAGATGTAATTATTTTTTGGACTGCTTGAAGAGCTGGAAGAGATGCCAACGAAAGACATCTGTCCTTCTCCTTAAAGCATGCGCAATTCACTCCCCTAGCCCACCTTGTCGTGCAAGTTGTCTTCCTGCTTGCAGTGGGGTTGGTTACTAAGTCCCCGGCATTTTCATTTCTACATTTCAATTTTCTCCCGATTAGCAGGTCATTTTAAACCTTACAAATGTAGGCCGAGTTCTGCGGCCCAGCTTAGGGAAGGATGGGGGTTGGGGCACGGACAGACAAGGTGATACTGGAACGTAAGCTGAGGAAATAAGCATGACCCTCCAGCCAGCGGAGAGGAACACGGGGGACAGCAGGGCAGCAGAGCCAGTGTTAGAGGGGACAGTAAGAACTCACACCTACCAAGCACCAATATGTGCCAGGGACTCTTCTACTGCCTTACACGACTTAACTCATTTCCTCCTCAAAACGGACCCTACGAGGTAGAGGCCATTATTGTTCCACATTAGAGATGAGCAAACTGAGGCCCAGCAACGTTTAGCATATGAGACAGTGTCACAGAGTTAGTGAAGTGTCAGATCTGGGCAGCCTGGATGCACGCCCCATGCTGTGGTTAACTCACCTATGCCTGCTCAGGTTATATCCATGAGTCCGCATACGTGAACAAATATTTTTTTGAGGAGGATCTATCATGTGATAGGCATTGTTTTAAGCACCAGAGGCCATCTTTACCTCTGCTCTCAACACAGTCTGTAAAGTAGCAGGTGCCCCATACATGTTTGCTGCTTTGAAGGCTAAATTATATGTAGTACAGCTAACTGGACTAGGTTGAGTAGTGTTCTCCCACCCCCACCCTCCCAATTTCCCATCAATCCAGAACCTGTGAATGCGACCTTATCTGGAAATACGGGTCTTCGCAGATGTAATCAAGTTCAGATGAGGTCATACGGGATTAGGATGGGTCTTCAGTCCAATGACTGGTGTCCTTAGAGAGAGAAGTTTAGACGCTCCTATGCAGGGAGAATTCCATCACAACAGAGGGTGAGAACTGAGAGACGTGTCTACAAACCAAGGGAGGCCAAGGATTGCCTGTAGCCACCAGAAGCTAGGGGAGAGGTAAGGAACACATCCTCCCTCAGAGCCTCCCAAAGGAACCCACCCTGCCGAAACCTTGATTTAGGACTTGTACCCTTTGGAACGGTGAGAGAATAAATGTGTGTTGCTTTAAGCCACCCAGTTTGCAGTAGTTTGTTGTGTCCGTCCTAGGAAACTAATACACTATTTAAAAAAAAAAAAAAGCAATAGGAAAGATACTTTCTCAAGTCACCCTTAGACCCTGTTTGGCAAGAAGACCTTGTCTGCAAGTCATGGGTCCCCACTGGTTGTGAGGAGGCAGGAGGAAAAGCCAGGGGTGAATTAATCCACGGCCTCACAGAAAGCCCGCCTTGCACCAAGTGAAAAGCTGTGGACCTCAAGCCAGACGGCTGTCTGCCTGGCCCCATCACAAGGCTCAGATGGAGCAAATATTTTCATCAATGGGAGAAAAACATAGGACAGCTCACCAAACTGGATTCGCCTCTGGCCCCGAGAGGCCCCTTCTGCTCAGGATGAGGGCAGGCAGGCGGGGACAGCTCCCCAAAAGAATGTCTAGGCCCCTAAATGTCAATTTACGTAGCAGGCCAGCCACGTCCCCACTAACCCACTCCACGCTAAAAACAGAAGTTCTTAAGCATTTGCCAACCCACTTCCCTTTGAAGATCTGGTAAATGGTATGGGTTAACTCTTGCCTCAGGAGAAAATTCCTACAAGCAGAATTTGGGGTGACATGTTTGGGGCATTTTGAATTCCTAAAGCCCAATGCTTGATGAACGAATTTACATGAATTGCCTCCTATGTGAAACGCACCGTGTGCTACACGCTAGTAATACAAAGGAGAATAGATAAGGCATTTCTCTTCCTCGAGCCCAGAGCTGGAATCGAGGTGTAGGAACTTCCGGTGGCCTTCACAGCAAATTACCACAAATTGGGTGGATGAAAAAGATACAAACGTATTCTCTCACAGTCCAGCGGGCGAGAAGTCTGAAATCCAGAGGTCAGGATTGGTTCTTTCTGGAAGCTCAGAGGGAGACTCCATTCACTGCCATGCTCCCAGCTTCCTGTGGCCGCCAGCAGTCCTTGGCACTCTTGGCTTGTAGACGCCTCACTCCAATCTCTGCCTCATCTTCCCGTCAGCTCTTCTCTGTGTGTGTCTGTATTCTCTCCCCTTCTTATAAGGACACTAGTCATTGGATTTAGGACCCACCCTAAATCAAGTATGATGCCATCAGAATCTTTAATCACATTTGCAAAGACCCTGTTGTCAAACAAGGTCATGTTCTGAGGTCCCAGGTGGACATGAATTTAGGGAAGACACTATTCAACCCGACACGGGTGTCACATGATTAAGCCATCACCATGGTGAGCAGCAAGGGTGATGGGAGCGTATACCTGAGGCATCCACGCACTTTCCCGAGAACCTCATGCGGAATTGGAACCCAAATGCTGAGTAGATACTAATTCAACAGAGGAAGTGGAAAAGTGCACCAGGAAGAACTGATCACATAGATCTGGCCCCCCAAAAAAGGAAGGCGACACTGAGGACAGCTGCAAGCCAGAAGGGGCCGTGCAGAGACCAGTGTGGCGCACGGGCTGGTCTTGTAAGCCCCTGTTCCGAGTTTGGATTTTATCCATAGGGCCACTAAATGCCTCTGAAAGACTGGAGGCAGAGGAGTGTTTCTAGAAAGTTCACCTTGGGTGAGGTGAAGAGGATGAGCTGGAGGAGGTGAGACCACATGCAGAGACCCCAGGGGTCCATATTTCAGGGGACAGCTCCCAGCTCTTGGACGCAAGTGGCTGAAGCTCTGTGGAGGGACCCCAGCGCTGTCCTACCCAGGGAGCTGGAGCGATCACACCCAGCAGACGGAGGTGTCAACCCAGAACAGACAGGATGGATGCCAGCCCGACAAGAAAACCCAAAGGGCTGAAAGCTGACACTTGTCCGCTAAGTGGGGAGGAGGATTAGGCATTTGAACAAACAAATGTGAGAACACTTCTGGCCATTCAGACACACGCCTTCTCATTTGCAGTCCCTGTGGGGTAAGTCCTACCTGCTCTCGAGTAAGTCCTCTTCCTTCCGAGCCTCCCTGGCTCTTGCTTATTTAAAGGTCACCTTCTCCCTTCAACCCCCAGTGTGGGTTCCACGCGCGCCCCAGGAACTCCATAAACTCCTCATGCAGGTTCATGTACCAGATTGTCATCCTTCCTTTCCACTTAACATGTCTCCACTACCAGACAGGAAGTACCTTGAGGGCAAGGATTTTTATCTTGGTCACCTCTGTATTCCCATTCCCAAGACACACAGGCTCTGACTGTTATCAGATGGAAAGATGGATGGATGGATGGATGGATGGATGGATGATGGATGGATTTCTCCATGAGGCTGTACTGGCTTCAAACCAAATGAATCTATCACATAATTAAATCAACATGGACTCATCAACTGCTTTTTAAATACTTTATGCTGCCCCCTTCCCCCAAAGAGGCAGGGTAACACCCACAGAGAAGCTGGCCTGGCATCTTCAAGACTCACCTCATTCCTTCAGCAGCCATCTTATCAAGGTTGGCAGTGTCCTTCGTTTCTGCCCAGTTTGCTCCCAGGTCACCCCACCCCATGTCATCTGCCAAAATGATCACAAAATTCGGTTTCTGGCCTCTTGTTTCCCCACTGAAGCAAAAATCCACAAGAGGATAAAGACATCCCAAGAAGCTCACCCCCACCAGTAACACTTTTAGAGAAAGCCAGGCCATGGCAGTAAGCGGGGGAGTCCGACTGTCTGGAATGATGGGGGGGCCACCACTAGAGACGTCTCTGAGAGCCCCGCTTCTGCTCCTTTCAATGAAGGGAGTCCCTGGAGACTGGAGGTTTGCAAGAAGACACTGGTGTTGCAGGAGGTGGTGGTGGTGCCCAGAGGGAAGGTGCGAGCTAAAGAAATGAGGCCCCCATCTGGAATCCTAATTCAAGAGAGTCAGGAAACTTGTAACCCCAAAGTTGGCTTTCCCCACTGCGGCTCCGTAAGATGACTGGCTGTGCACAGCAATCAGATATCAGTGACAACAACCGGCCTTTGGTCACTTAGAGAGTGACCCCTCTGGGCTCTGGGATATTAGAGCCCAAGCCTTGCATCTGTTCAGGACTCCAGCTGGGGAGTGAGCGCAGGACAAAAGCTCACATCTGCAGAACACCTGGATGTTCTAGAAGCTGCTGCCGTCGGTCCCCAGTGAGTTTCTGAGTTCCAGGTGGTTGAGGGCTTCATGTTTCTGAAAGGTTTCCTGAAAGAACAAAAATTGACAAGAAAACAGAGTGAAAACCGCCAGTGCAGCTGTGTTTTACTCAGTAGCTTAGGAAACAATCACTTTTCCATGACAACAGATGTTTTCCTTCTTACCCGAATATTTAACTGGTTCATCAGTTTCTCCACCTGAGAAACACTGAGGATGATATTTGCAATGGGCCTCTAATCAAGGGTGGGAGCAACATTAGAGATGACCTCTGTCAACCCCCTCACTGGATGCCTGAGAATGCTGAGGCTTGGTGTCCAGATGGGGGGCAGGGGCCAGCAGGCAACTCTGCCAGATCCCAGTGCTCCCCCAATCCCACCCACCATGCTTCTCTGATTCACCATTCCCAAACTAACCGTGACCTTTTCAAACCCACTGAGGGCTGCAGATGAAAGGGTGAGACCCTGATTACCAAGAGATGACTCTTTGTAACAGTCATGCTGTACGCTAGCATTTCTATATAAAACTCGTGACAGACATTAATTTGGGAATAAAGGAAACGTGAAAACATAAGTTCACGGTAGAATCCAGGTAGAGATTCCATGGGAGTTCTTTCAATTTTGCTGCATCTTTGAAATATTTTGTAATAAAGTGTTAGAAAAAATTGTTTTTCATTTTCACAGAAATGTGTCCCTTTACATCTTGGCAATGTAATTTTGAATCAAAAGCTCGAAAGACATGCTCAACCAGTGGTTCTCACACTTGGCTGTACATACAAATCATCTGGGGGTTTTATCAAAGTGCAGGTTCAGTAGGTAAGGCTGGGACCCAGGATTTCTAACAAGTTCCCAGGTAAGGCCTACACTGCTGGTCTGTAGATCACGCTTAGATCTTAACAAGAGGCTTAGAAGAGAAAAACATCCTGATTCTGGTCCTAGAAGAAAACTAAGGTAACCGGAGATGATTCAACGTCAGTGGACAAACACAAATCAGGTTCAGTTTTGAAAGACAGGAGCTGAAGGTTATGCGTTCAATTCCAAAATCCAAATAGGAACCATAAAATAAAACCATATGACCCCTAGTTCACTTAGAAGCCCTAAATTTACACAGTTAGTAAGGAAAGAAAGACTGGAAAAATTCTGGACTAAAGAAAAACTTCAGCTGAACACCCGACCTCTGGAGGAGATTAAAAGAGAACCAAATTGTAATATACTGGGGGTGCCAAAAAAATGTATACACTTGACCTCTGTTCATCTTTTTTTATTGATATATATTGAGTATTACAATTTTAATACAGTTTTTTCTTTTCTTAAAATGTGTATACATTTTTTGGGCACCCTCTGTATAAAGATGCTACTAGGGCTGGGTTACGACAGATACTATTTCCAGCTGTGATCTCTGCCTTCGGAAGGAATGCACAGCTGACAATGCCAACCCAGTGGCCAACCCCAATTGATGGCGGTGGTTGGAGGTATGTAAATTCTGGAAGACCCAGATAAACACAGAAGGATGGGCAGACACATACTTAAACAAAAAAAGGAAGTCCAAGTAAACAGTCCTGTTCATCTGAAGGCCCATGAATCAACTGATCAGACATGTACATTTTTCCATTTTCCAAAAGGAGAGTTAGTTACCTCAAACTCAATTAGATGCAATGGGTATTTGTTGACCTTGGGGCTGCAAAGACATCTCCCTTTCTAGAAGAAAGAGCCCGTGCACAGGGAGGCTGCCTAACACTTGTGGACCTGCTGGTTGATTTCCAGCCTTATTCCATTGGCTTCTGACCATGAGCAACCATCACAGGGGTCTTTTCTTCTTAAAGCCACTTTGCTTGGATCACTAGAGTGGCCTCATTCTTGGTCAGGAATCCATTTCAGAATGACCCAACACCAAAGACATCACGGGGAAAAAATCACCTACGAAAGAAGCTACAATCAAGGTGGGAACATGGACTGTTTTGCTTAAGAGTTCTACAATAAAAACATCCCTTTGAGGATTTTCAAAGAGAATCATTGAACACTTAGCATTTTCATAGAACGGAAAGAAACTAATTTAGCCATGCACCGTTGCCTTATCCTTCATGGCCACACTTCTAGGGAGACATTTAATCCTTTCCCTCTTTATTTATTTATTTTTTTTACCTACAATGAAAAGACAAACCAGACAGTCTAAGAATGGACTCCAAGCCACAAACTTTGATTACGATACAAGCTGACACTATGGAAAACAGTATGGAGGTTCCTCAAAAAAATTAAAAATAGGGCCGGCTGAGTGGCGCGTTGGTTAAGAGCTGGCTTGGGACACCAGAGGGCCCCGGTTCGGATCCCACATATGAGGGCCAGTGACACTGCCCTCCAC